GATTTGAAAGTACTTAGAAAAAGACACCGTTACTTTCGACGTTATGGGCGTAGGCGTACAAGGCGGGAATATGGGATGGGAGGCAGTCTCCCAGGAAGAAGTGTATATTATATGGAAAATATTGTTTATCCCTGTAAAACTTTATTTTACGACTATGGTTTGGGTACTGATATTAAAATATTATGTACATATGTGATGAAGAAATGCCTTTATCCAATGTATATATAGTTTGCCCAAACTGTTTACATAGGAATATATATTTATGTTTTTATATATATATATATATATGTGTATATATATATATATATATATATCCCCAGCTTTATCTCTGATATATATATGTATATATTTTATATATATATATGTTAATAAAATAATAGTGAGATTACATCCCAGTGTGTATTTTAATTTTTTTTAATTCATATAACATTTCTTGTTGATATTACACACACTTTAAGCTCATCAATATATATTGAAGAGAAAATTTATATTGAAATATATATAGATTGGAAGGAGCCTAGAAAATCAAAATCCTTTTCCAAAAATAAATGTAAAATCTAAGTGTTGACTATCAAAAAATTATGGCTTAATATATATATAAACAAACAGCAAAATAAAGTGGAGGAATCCCATCAAGAGCCAAAATTTAAATCTGCAGAGAAGATGCAAGAAAAAAGGGGAAAATATTGTATGAATAATCAAACATAAAGAAATTGACATGAATGGTTCTAAAAAACAATGAACTAGTTTTTTAAATGCCGAAGAATATGAAAACCTAAAAGGAAGAAAAAAGACAAAAAAATGAAAAATAAGAATTTTAATTTAAATAATTTTTTAAATTGAAAGAAAGAAAAGAAAGAAAGATGGAGAGTACGTGAGAGCATGATAACTATATGTATAGAAAGACATGATAAATTTTCCGTACATTGAGATTTGTTGAGCATACATGTATATGTTTTATACGAAAAGAAGATAAGTTTGTTGGGGTTTTTTTAAGAGTTGAGATGTACAATTAGTTATTTCATTTTGTATGTTTTAATGAATTGAAAAGACAATGAAATATTATGATGCTTTTATACAGACATTGTTATTAAACTTCGAATAAATGAACGCTTAATTTATTTGGTTTATTAATGACATAGTTTTGAAACAGGGATTAATACGGATTTATATATCTGATCGATATAAAATAATGTGTGAAGAAATTTAGACATTCTGCAAAAGGCCAAATATGCATATGTGTGATAGAAATATGTATGTATGTAAATCTTACATATATGTGGGTGTGTATGAAAATCTGCATCAAACTAGGCTTTTATTTGTGTAGATATATATACTTGTGCGCGATGGTTACTGTTATTATTATTACTATTATTATTATGCATGTTTTCATTTTCAACTGGAGATCTTTGTATTTTTGAGTGTTGATTCTTTGCAATAGCTATAAGAAACATTCAGCCTTTGATAGATAAAAAATTACAAAAGCCATAATTTCTTTTTTATTATTTTATTTAATTATTTGTTCATCTATTATAATTAATATATATATATATATATATATATATATATATATATATATATATATATATATATATAAATGTATGTATTATGATGAGGGATGATGATAATGATAATAATGTCGTTTAAATTAATGCTGGCATTGATTCATTTCTATTGGACACTGGATAACCTATATACACTCCACCCTTTATACAAATTTTTTCCCACTTCTGCTTTCTTCACTTATAATTCCCCAAAGATTTTAAATTCAAGTTGGTCCATACTTTTTTTTTTTGGTCTGGTTAATTTTAAAAGCTTTTTGTCGGTTTTATTTTCAAATTGTTCTACAAATTTGTATCATTTAATAAAAAAAAATAGTCGGTCTGATGAGGCAGTATATATATATATATATATATATATATATATATATATATATATATATATATGCTGAAATAAATTTATCACCGATTTATAGGATATTTTAAGTTTTTTCCTTACTATTTTTATATTGCTCTGTATAGAAATTCTATACATTGAACTCTCTTCATGGATATGACTTTTTAATATTTTTATATTAAAGATCTTCTTGGAATAATCCCTACCATTTAGGTTTTATTTATAGTTTTCTCCTTATAAATCATGGTTGAGCTCTCTAGAATATTCCAACCTGAAGGATAACATATATATATATATATATATATATATATATATATATATATATATATATATATATATATATGTGTGTGTGTGTGTGTGTGTGTCTGTTTCTGTCTATGTAAAATTCTAACATATGCTTAACATTTTTATACATTGTCCACATGAAAAACATGCTATTTGTTATGATTAAGAAAACAATTTATCATGTTCAAATGCTTTTCCCTTCATGTTAAATACAATGCTGAATCCTATCAGCAACACTTCTACAAACCATTTGACACATTTCTACGTTATTTTCAGAAAATGACAAAAAAGATTGCTTGTTTTACAGATCGCGACATCTATCAGAACATGAAATTTAAGTTTTATTATTGCATTATTCAAAATTTTAACACATCAGCAGATAACTATTAATGTCAACCAACTAGGCACAAATAGTTACTAATTAAAAAAATAGTAATTAATGTCTAATATTATCCATAAGTACATGTACAGAATGTGGTTTTGATAAAGGTTAAAATAACCATAAATACATAAAAAATATATATTTTCAAAGTTTTCCTTTTCCACCATATATTTGTTAACACAAGTTACTTAATACTGACCACCTGACCAATAATAATACTGAATAAATCTTTTAAGCATTAAAGTATATTAAATCACATCTCCTATGCTATTGCAATATTGGGATATACATACAAGGGATAACCTATCAGTTAATAATATGTTTATTTTCCTAGTCAGGACACATTAAACATAAAGGAGTATAGATCCAGTGATCTCCCAAAGACTGTGTCTCAATCTCTGTTAAGCAGTGAACTTTTAGGGGAATTAATAGGAGATAATTGTGTCAACTGCAGTTTCACGAATTACTGATTTCAAAGAAAACTACTGGATGGGTCGATGATTCTGCATAATTCGTTGTTGTACTCTTATTAAAAATTATGCAGTGTATTGTTTTTGTTGTTTATTGCTTTCAACAGCCCCAGTCAACCAAAGCACATTATTAAAAAAATCTTGTGGATTTCAAAAATGGAAAAAATGCAATAAAAGTTCTGGTATTCTTTTATTGCATTTTAAATACTCATCACCATGCATCATTTCTTACATGGAAAGACTTTGAGAGATGCATATCAGAAGGGTTTATGATTGCCAAAGTAATACTGAAGCTTATGGAGGAATAGAAGATATTGTGGAAGGATCTGCTAATACATTTCATGGATCATATTAAATTTTTGGCGACTCAACATATGGCATTTCATGGATTTGGAAGTAAATAATGGTTTGAATTTTCTTGCACCTTAAAGTTTACTTAGTGAAGTACAACCCTTTGTTGCAGCATCACTTTGGATTATATCAAGTCCACATTCTGCAACATTTTGTTAACAAGATACAGAATGAATTGGTTTATAGCTGTTTAGCGAATAGGATTCTCTCTGTAAAAATTCAATTGCAAATGCAAGGAAAAATGCTTAGAATGGGGTATTGATGTTGGTCAACAGAGAAGAGTGCATTATAAAAAAGAATGATTGGAGAGGAGACGAAATATGAGCCTCTAAATGTAAGAGAAGAAATGGATGTTTACCTTGAAGGCAGTACTGGACAGGTTGAATGCAAAACTGAAACTTGTTGACTCAATGAAGACATGGTAGAAAAATGCAAAGTAGCTGCTGCAGCATAAGAGGGTGATTTTGATGTATTAGAACTCACGAAATTACAGACTGCCAAGGTGGTAACACCAGATCAAATAAAAATGGATTTGAATTATATTTAAATACTTTTTTAAAGCATTTGTATTTGTATGGAAAATCATTTAGATTTAGATTTTTGCCAAGTTTCAGAAGTATCTTTGTTTTTTTTTTGTTTTTTGTTTTTTTTTTTTAATCTGGAATAAAATTACTTGAATTTATATTTGTATTTCCAATTATATCACATCAATAATTACAAAAAGTATTTGTATTTGAATTTCAAAAAAATAAGTATTTGATCCATCCTGGTTGTGATAGGGGGCACCTAGTCAAGCTCTTGCACCACCCTGGACCAAGACCTTGGCACACCACTGACAACCACTGATATATTAATTGTATATGGTATATTTAGGATGTGGTGATAGTGTATTGATTAGTGACTTAGAAAGCAAGATCAGCAAACCAAGTTTGAATTCCAGCCAAGTTCAGTATGTTCAGTTTTGTACAAATACCCTTTGGAAAGATATTAATCTCTGGTTCCAGTTATGGATTAAATAGCAGATCTGACTGGACTCTCTTTCCTTGAGTTAGCAACCACTTTAGGAAAAGGAAAACTCTGAATTCAAAACCAGCCTGAAGAAGCATCACTACTGTGATGGCTGCAGTGGTGCCTCTTGGACCTTACAAAACTTGTGACTATATTGATTGTTATGCAACTCATGATAGCCATCTATATTTGCTCTATAGTCCTACTACAAAATAGCTGAAAAAATTCTTTTTACCTTTAATTTGTTGGATAGAAATTAAAAATGGAAACCATTGAATATTTCTTTGAAGTTATTTCTATAAATATAGAATTTAGAAAAATTTACAAAACCAATAAAATTGAGTTTTGGATAGAAAAAAATATTTTATCTTCCTAGTTAGCTAGTTAGCTTGATTAGCACGACTATCTTAGATATATAAGTTAATTATAACTAATTAGTTAGATTTTATATAATTCCAATTCTTATAAGAATTATATGATTCCTTCAGTATTGAAATTGACATTTATTGAAAAAGAAATAATTCAATATTTTTAAATATTTATCTTTTGTATTTTTCATCTGAAAATTGATATTACAATGATAATTATTTCATACTCTCTTCTTGCAGGTATTTGACATAGTATTGAATGGAGAACACACTGTTGTTGATGAACTTGATATTTTTGCCAAGGTTGGGCGAGGAGTGGCCCATGATGAAATGCTGCCTTTTTCAATAAAAAATGGGAAATTGAAAGTTAATGGAGAAACATCACAAATTAATGGCAAAATTACTGTGGAATTTATTAAGGTAACAGTAATGACATTTTTTATTATTTTTCAAATATTCAACTTTGTTAGGAAAATAATTTACTAAATATGTTTTTACCTTTAATAAACATGATATATTAATTCAATTAAGACAATTGGTATGTCAATTTGGGGCAAAATAGTAGTGTGGTTGGTTAGAAAATATCACTAATCAAAATTTTTTTATGCTTTCATTTTTTTGTGTGCAATAACAAAAATGAATCATATAAGCACACACTATAGCTTTTTTGTTTCATGTTTTACTATAATATATTCATGACTTTTTTTTTTTTTTAGGAAATGACTTTAATATAGATACCTCCAAATATTTGCAAAAAAATGAGTATGCAGAGTGGCAATATACAGAAAATAAATCTGAGCAAGATCTGATACTAGAGTCTAGAGACTCATTGTCTGAGTTTAAAGTGAACATAAAATGCTCGTGAATGTGGTGCTCATTATCATACCTACAAAATTTGATATGCCTTTTTATTTACTGAAACAATTAGATAATGGGGAATCTTATTGATTCGGAAAATTTGTTACATATTTTGTCATATATGTATTTTAGCTGCTATTTAATTCATTAACTTCTTTATATTAATGCATGGCTGGAACACTCTTTTAGCAAAATTTAAAACTCCTTTACAGCTGATCAGTGTATTTTTTTTTTTCATTTTTTTCATATTTATAAGTATTGTCAGTCCATGAAATCTATGCATCTTATTCAGAAAAATTTACTCTATTTTTTTATACATTTAATTTTTTTTATTTTTTTTATTATTTTTTTATTCAACACCACATAATTTATATTAATATGCTATTTATACTATTGGATACAATAAAATCTTAATGTAAATATAATGTATAGTATTTGTTTGCCTATTGCCCTAAAGCCCCAGCAATGTTACTATTATTATCACTATTCATTTTTTTTATAAAATATAAATTGGTATCATACCTAGCAATTTCCCATAACAGTAGGTTAATTTTTATGAGGATATAGTATACAATTGTGACGATGTGTGCTTCTGCACATTACTTCACAAGCTGTGATGACATCCAAGGTTGGCTGTGTGTGTATACACTCAGCTTCCTATGTTCACAAGTTTTTCTCACTGGCTGTGATTGAAGCCAACAAAAAATAACAACAAATGCTTTTCAAGACACTGATCAGGAAATAGCAAACAATATGATTTCTCACATAATCAGCAATGTCTTACTACAGCCTCAAGAACATGAACTGTTATCTTACTAACATCCAGCCACAGAAAAAGGACCCTTACACTCACTGCCTGACCGTCTCGGTGACTGTTGAGTTACTCACTGTTGGTCCTTTTTCTCCCTGACTTCTCACTTCCTGAATGACTCATACTGGCTGGAATCACACCACCCCTATCCATACACTTGTGTTCTGGAAAAGGAGACTGTCCATTCAGGTTTTGGGTGGTCAGTTTTTCAAAGGACTCTACTTTTATGATTATCTAAAATCACCAACAAAATATTATGTTTGCCAATTCAAAGGCAGGCTGAAGACAGGATTCCTGAAACCCCTTGTCATTAAATTGACTTAAAAGGTAAAAGAATCTATTTATCTCCTAAGAATGTGTGAGAAATCATATTGCTACACAATCATTGCCCATACTAGTATCTTGTTTTTTTATTTCTTATACCAATTAATAAACAAAATATAAATTTTGGGTTTTATGGTTCAATTCCACCTTCCTTACAGCTATTTTAAAGCTTGGTGGCAATAATAATGGGATTTTGATGTATGCCCATTTCCCAAAAGTTGTTTTGTTTTTTAGATGATATAAGAAATAGAAAATCATAAACTCCTAATTAAAATATTCTTTAGGATACCTCTGAAATCATCTTTGAGGAATTTGTGGCTACAGAATTTGAGGCTACAGAATTTGAAAAATATAAAATGAATAAAAAATTTAAAAATATACACAAATCAGCTGTAAAGGGTTTTTCAATTTTGCCAAAAGAGTGTTTCATCCATGTATTAAATAAGTCCATGTATTTAATTATACAAAATATTAACAAACACATACATAAGAAAATTAAGAATTTACTAGATTTTGACAGATTATTTAATGACAATAAATACTCAAGTAAAAGAAACATGCTACAATAGACTATAAATTTTCAAAAGGATACAAACTGTAAGCAATAATAAAAAGATGGGAAATTTGAATGAAGAAACTGATTAGAAAAGGTAATTAATACAAACACGTATCAACAATAACATGACTGCCATAGTAACTAGGAAGTCAAACAACAATAATTCTTGTTATTATATTTTGCTGCAAATTTCAAAACAATGTTTTCCAGATTCAAGTTTTCAGTTCTATGCTTGTTCATGGCAATTGTACCCAAACTGTCCAGTCTGCTATCAGTCATAGTTTCACAAGAACATCTTAATCATTTGCAGCCTTGAAAAGCTATGTTCCCAACCAGCATTGTTAAGAGGGAGCGTCACTGCAATTTGGACCAGCCAAAAAAGTTGATAGAAAGTCTGTTATTTTTTGAATATTACTTTGGTCTTCCTTACCATGTTCAAGCCCTCTCAGAAGTCTGCTGCAGTGCAGTAAGCCATAAAATAGACATCAAAACATTTAAATAGTGTCTATTTTCATTAACTTAGCATGAGCCTCATTGACTATAGCAAGCACAGACGCATTTTTTCTTGAAGCTTTTGGTAATCACTCCAATCTGAAACTGAGACTTATGGTGAGAGGCTAAGGTGACATGATGATTACCAGCATGTTTCCAATCGCAAAAAACAGACTTAGTAAATGTTTGTTCATGAACTATTTTGGATTTGTCACGAAAACAATACACTGATTTTTTACCAAAGGATAGGATTTGAAATAATCTCAATTAAAACTGTGATAATGTGAGCCAAACAGTGTTTTAGGATAATTTCTTATTTTTAGTTATGTAGGTTCATCATATAGATTACTGCTGATATCATCAGGGTGAATTATTATTTCAGAAACTCCTGAACTACTAGGATTCTTGGTAGATAGAATGACTTTTGCACTTGGATTAGTTTTTCAGTGTTAGTCAAATTCAAATCACTGTTGTTGTTGCTGCCTTCATGTTCTACATTTCAGAATCTGATGAATTCATGCTATTAATATCCTCAAATTCCACTGATGACACCAGTGGTAGTGACATTTTTGTTACCTTTGTATCAACAACAGAATCTACAGTCAGAGCAGGTCTCTTTCTCAAGAAGTTGCATATATCCATCTAAAGTATAATAAAGTAATTTTTATAATTTAAATTAAAGTTTATAAACAGATTTAAAACTTTAAATTACTTGACAAATTTTTCTTTTAAATAAAGGTTTCCAAAATTTTAAGAATTAACAAAACAAAGTTGTAAAATAACATGATACAAGTAAAACTTTTACTTGTTTCTAAATATGGAAAATAAATGTATAAGAAATTGTTTTTTACAAAAACTTATTTTTGTGCAAAATATAAAAATTTATTTTTGTTGGGATAGAATGGGAAAAGAGAATATGCCATCTCTCTTCTCTTGAATATTAAAAAGGCACAAACAAATAAGATTCAATTGCTACATGAAATTTAAAAGAACAAACATTTATTACAAAACATATCAATGATAAAACAAATACAATATATATACAAGATGGGCTTGCAAAAAAAATTTCCTTTTGTGAGCCTTATTTAAAAAATAAAGCAAAATAACTTTCAAGCAATATACACATGATTTAAATAAAAAATTTCAAACAATCTTCAAAAAATGAAAATTTGGGAAAGGTAATGTAAATTTTAGATAAGGCAAAAAATACCTTTTGAAAAAGAAATGCACCCATCTAACAGTAAAACAAAAGAAGAAAATCCCAGCATGTAAGGAGTTTAGATACTTTTGAAATACCAATATCTAGGGACATTTTACAGATTTTCTTTTGTAGAGCAGTTCTATAAACAAGTTTCTGTTTCTTTTCACAAATTCTTTTCAGGATGTAGCCAAAAATTGATTTCCATTCTGGGTCCTTATTCTGCCTTCTGGATGAAATTAAGGTGTCAGTTGTCTTTGTAGAAACATTAAGATCTTGTATGAAGATTTGACCTACTAAAAATTTGGACCTTTCCGTCATAGCTAGCAGTTTCCATCCCCTTTATGTGACTTATCACTCCTTCTGCTTTGAAACCTCTTTCTGCCTTGAAATCTGATTACATTCTCCACTTTGAGTGTTAGCCACCCTCTTTCAGTAAGAAATGAATAGGCTTAAGATAGACCTTGGCTTCAAATTTTACAAGGGCACAAGTCCACATTTTTGATTGGACAGAAAATAAAATAGATTTTTTTTTAATTCAAAAAAATGAATTGGTAACAAACCACCTAGACAAATAATTTTGGTAGTTCTTTAACCATCAATTCTAAAAATAAGAATTTTTATAAACAAAAAGTAACAATTTTTTATAAACCATCTGGCTTTCTTTAAAATGCATTTTTCTCCAAAGTATGACAAACCTAGATGATTACATTTTTTTATACTTTTAATTAATTTTAATTATTTAACATTCAGTCAGTTATGTGCCATGCATGATACATGCTTAAGGTGATCATGTATCTATCTTTCAATACATGACTGACAAGGCAGATTTTTCCCATGTAGGTTGCAGAAACACCAAAAAAAAAAAAGGCTATAGCCTTGGTCTGTATACTATTTACCCATAGCTGGAGGGGATTCATACATTTCTCAAAGGAGGTACAGTGAAGTGATAGATAGCGGCTCAGATTGAGGAGTTGGCGAGCCAAGTTCGAATTCCAGTCATTCATTATATTCACTTTTTTATTAATAATACCCTTAGGAAAAGTATGATCCTTTCTTCCCCCCACATGGGTAAACCAGCAGGAAAGACCAGTTGATTTTGATTCAACCAACTGGTCTAATGCAGAAAGAAATGGCAACCTATCAGGGAAAAAATCTGTTATCGTCAGTCATGGCGAAAAATACATGATGCCATTAAGCCTGTATCACACATGGCACATAACTATTTTACATTACTAAGTCATAAAAATTTTTATAAATGACTTACTTTTCTTTATTTTACTCAGTGAAAAAATTTTTATGACCCTGTAATTTACCCCCAAATATGACATTTTTGTAACCTTGAAATTCACCCAGAACAAAATGAAAAGTATAATCATAAAGTAGATGATGATTCAAAATAAAAATAAGAGCAAAAGCATTTTTTTTTTCTGGAAACAATAAAGTTTATTGTCCACCAGAAATCAACCAACAAAAACGACGTAATAAATTTCTATTCCACTCATAACAACAAAATAAAATCTGGCATTACCATCTAAGAGCTCTAAGAATATGCAGCTCAATTTATTTACACAAAGAAGAGAAATATATTGAAAACATTTCCAAACTTCTCCAGTACCCCAATTATTTTATATTCACTGCAAAACAAAAAAAAACAACCCCTCCTGAGAAACCAAATGAATCAAAAAAATATATTATCCTGCCTACTACTTCTATCATATCTACAATTGAATAGAATCTATCTACACACAACATAAAATTTGTTACTACTACATCCAAAACAATAAAAGACTTAGTCAATACTAAACAAAACAATAAGCTTAAAACTGATGAAGTTTTACTTCATCTCCTGTAACAATTTTTACAAAAAATACATAGGGGAAACCTCAAGGAATCTAAGTAAAAGATTATATGAACACAAAAGGCACATATGTCAAATGTATTTGTTGCCCACCGTAACAAGACTGACCATAATTTTGACATAAAAAATGCTACTTTGATCACGGGAGAAAATAATTCACTACAATATAAATTTTTTAATCACAAGGTTATCTACAATAAATTTATGCCCTGGCTCTTACCACTCCTAGCAGATCTTCTAATATCATAGTGTGGAATGCCTACTTACAAATGTAATGAAAAGAAAAAGACTCTAAATGAATTCAGATAGATAAAAAAAAAATTCTAAAATTCCAAGCACCATTCTGTCGTCCTAGCAACATAACAAATTTAGTCCAATGAAGTCCTGAAGGATGAAACACATCACAAATAAACTTTTTACACTTTGTCATACAATTTCAACACTATTTATTAATATAAATACAAATTAATGTTTCCTTATGGATTTGAACCTCTATCTTTACAATAGATATTTTTAATTAACAAAATTTTCCTAACCATATATCCTAGTAATCACCAAATAAAATATATCTTTAACCATTAATTCTACTTCATTTTATTCATTATTATAGGGTGATGCTGACAATCCAAAAATTAATGCTATATACGTGATGAAGGGAACTTTGGATGGTAAGTAACAATTCATTAATTTTTTTAATAATTTCATGACTTGATATTAATTTTCCTATTGCTGTTTTAAATTTTTAATCCAAATGTGATAGTTTAAAATGAAAGTGGCTTTCAAATTTCACCATTAGTGGCTTTCAAATTAAACCATTATAATCAATTTTTAATATAAAATGTGAAGCTATTTTTTATTGCTTCCATCAAAAATGATGATTTTGTTAATATAAAAAAATCGAATCGGTTAAATAAAAACAGTTATTGATTCATCAAAATAGAGAGTAAAATAATAACTCTGTACACTCTGCTTCTCAAGGAATTAAGGGAGACGACTCTTCAACATTAAGTTCTTTTGTATTCTGAGTGGAAATTCAGAACCAACAAGCAAATAATTCCAAATTCAATTGCATTCACTACAAGTGACATATCTCTGGATTATTTGAATATATCTAAAGAATAGTTGGCAATGATAATGCAGAAATTTATAAACCTCTCCTTTACCTATTTAAAAACATTTTCTTTGTCTATGCCTATGTAAATATATTTTATATTTCAATGGGTGTAAATTGTCTCCATTTTATATTTTTAATTTTGCACATGCACGTTATCTGCTTTTGATTTTGTCAACTGCACAATATAGTAGGGTCAATTGGGCACCATCCGTGAAAAAAAGAGCACCATAACACAATTTCACTCTGCCAGAAATTTGGAAACAGCATGCTGTACTGCTTACCATTCACACCAGAAATGAACATGAACAAAGTGTTTGGGTATCAATCTGAGGACAGTGCAAAAGATTTGGAAAGAGCTGGATAAGCCTAATGGTGATTACAAAGGTATAGCAGCTTGGAAAAGTTGCTCTTATTCTTCTAGTAAAAAAGAACTTCCAAATTTGTTGGTGTGGGCCTCAGACTCAACACGGAGACCTACATCAAGTGCCTTGAGGAGGTAGTGCTACCCTGGGTCAAGAGAGTGGCTTCTGGACCATGCTACACAAGCAGGAGAACCCAGTTATGGCTGTCAGACAATTTCTGTGACCACATTACCCCTTACATCTGGCCACCTAACTCCCCAGACTGCAACCTCCTTGATTATTATATATGGTGTGTAGTCGAGTGAGAGACCATCAAAACTCCTTGTAACACCAAAGATGAACTGAAGGCGAGGATTATGGCAGCATTCACCAGCTTAAACAAGGATACTGTACAGAAGAGTTGCAGTAGATTCCAAAGTCATCTGGAGGCTGTGGTTGAAGCCAATGGTGATTTTATTGAATAAATTTACGCTTTATTATTTCAAGATATTTTTGTGTAATTTTAGTAAATATATCTTAAAATGAGATGTCAGCGTTATTTTCATTTTTGTGTAATTTAGACAGCAATTCATCCATCACACTCTGTATATATATGCACACACTTACACACACACACACACAGCCATCTCATAAGCAATATATGAATTTAGAAATATAAAAAACTCACATTTGATTAAAAAATGTATGTATGTATGTATGTATGTATATACTACAGTGATAGTAGAGCAGTCTATTTTATTTATGGGAATGGATGTAAAAGATATAAAAATAAGATAAAAAAATAATATATACACATGTACAAAAACACATGCACACACTTACAGACCTCCAACTACAAAAATATGATTATAACTCAAATACAAATGTACACATGTAATAAGTAATTCTAAATATAATATAAATGTACACACAAATATCATGACATATCCACATATACAAAATATATATATATATATATATATATATATATATATATATATATATCCTTCCATTTATTAATAGATATCAGGTCATCCCATAAGTTCTGTAAAATTTCTTTTGGCTTTGATTAAAAGAACTCACAAATGTCAGTTTTAACCTCTTCCTGTGTTACAAAAAGCTGTTTCTTCCAAATGATTCTGTAAGCTACTAAAACAAATGGTAGTCTGAAGGAGCAAGATCGGGAGAATAAGGTGGATGAGGAATTTTCTCCCAACCAAGTTCTTCGATCTTTTGTGACATGATTCTTGCTGTGGGGGTCGCGCATTGTCCTGATGAAAATCATCCTTTTTTTTTTCGATTCACTAGAACAGGTCTTTTTTCTTCAAAGCTTGGTTCAAACGCTCTAATTGCTGTCAGTATATTTGAGCATTAATTGTTGCATTAGGTGGTAAGAATTCAAAGTGGATTATTCCTTAGCAGTTGAAAGAAGAACCTTTTGCTCATGAAGTTCCCTTCTCGGCTGTGGCTGGGGTCCTTCCCCTTTACCAAGCCACTGTCTATGATGCTTAACATTTCAATAAAAGATCCATTTTTCGTCGCCAGTCACAAGTCTATCCAAAAAAGGTGAAACAAGTTGGTGAGAATGGAGAGAAGAGCAGATAACTCAAGATTTGAGGTTGTTTTCAGACAATTCATGAGGCACCCATTTTCCAAGTTTAGGAACTTTTCCTAGTTGTTGAAGATGACGATGAACAGTTGTATGGTTTGAACTGAGAACCACTGCCAATTCCTCAACTGATAAAGCAGGATTTTCTTCAAGGGCTGCTTCAAGAAGCTTTTTCATCAAACTCAACTGGACGTCCAGTTCGATCTTCATCTTCAAGGGTGAAATCTCCACCTCTGAATTTTGCAAACCATCTTCTGCAAGTTCTTTCATTCACACATTCTCTCCATAAACTGAGTGAATGTTTCTAGCTGCTTTAGCTGCTGAGTTTCTTTTCTTGAACTCATAAAGCATTATGTGCCTCAAATGATTCTTGGGTACTTCCATGTTAACAGGAAACAAAATTTAATTTTATTGTTCTCTGAAATAAAATTTGATCAGTTTAAATGCATCTAAACATAAAAATAATGTTCAGCTCCATTAGACATTATAAAATACTTTTTAAATTTCGTTCATTTTAACAAAAAGTTAAAATTCGGACAGAAATTATGGGATGACCTGATATACCAAGTTATACAAATAAAAATGTATTTATAACTATCTATATATCAACATGCTCACTATAGTATATAAATACATGCACATTTATAATTAAATAAACATTAAAACTAAAATATATTATAAAACAAAATATATATATATATATATATATATATATATATATTAAAAAAAAATATACATATATATTAAAACAAATATATATATATATATATATATATATATATATATATTAAAATATACATTTATATTAAAAATATATATATATATATATAAATATAATATATATATATAAATAAATATATATATATATATAAATAAAATATATATAATAATATATATATATATATATATATATATATATATATATTAAAACAAAATGGATGTGTGTATGTATGCATGCCTCCACACACAGCTATGATTCATGTAATTATAGACATGCACATAAACATATTTATTATATACACACACAATCTTCAGTTCACTGTCCATTAATGATGAGTCATCAGTTCTGCTCACTACCAAAAGTTTATCCCATACCAGTTGAAGGTAACTAACATGACAGCCTGTCATTGATCAGGACAGATTGTGGACTAACGGTTGTAGTCATTTTTCCTGTTACAAATTTGGAGGTACATCATTCTAGAGTGGTTTAAATCATTAAAATTGTCTCCTATGTTGTACATCCCATGCTCCATCTTGGGTTTTGGTGATGGTACTGCATTAATAACTTTTAATCTAATCTCATGGGAGTAGATTGCATTGGTGAGTGCAATAGAGCTTGTGGTACTATATTGTTTTTTTTAATATAGTTGGAGCCTGATTTTCCACACTGCAGTCTATACTTTGCTTGTTACTACCAAGAAACTCCACTGCTCCTGATATCATAATCATAATTTCACCCACCTCTCTAAATGTGTTCATGTTGATAAACAAGTTGAACCCCAGTGACCTCTCTTGAGTCACCAAAACATTAACATTGACAAGACTGCCACCACACAGTTAAATGTTGATAATCCCAACTGCAGGCACTGGTATTACCATTGATGGTCACTATACAGACAGAGCCTTCTATCCATGGTAGGAGGCTCTGTGTGTATAATATATCCTTGCTTGCTACTGATTGGGAGCAACCTGAGTTGACAAATGTAGTGCACAGCTTTCGAATAACTTAAACTGCAATTACAGGCAGTGTTGAGTTTACATTCATTCTAGGGAAGAGATTAGCACTAATGCTTTTCCTTGACATTATGTGGCCTATATTTTGGCAACAAAAAAACACATTAAAAACGTTGTATTTTAGAAAACCTTTTTTCTGCAATGGCTCAGATAATCTATTGCTATGTGGTTCAGACCGTTGCACTTATAGCAAGGAATGTCAGTGTTATTGCATTGACCCACTGGAAGGAGTTGGTTCATGGTCAGTGCATCCATACTGGATGATGCTTCACTTTGTCTGGCAGCCACACCACAAATGTGCATGTAAAACCACAGCCACACATACTACTAAACAAAATCACAAGTTTTCATCATAATTCTGCCAGACACATCAACACACTGTGTCATGGTCACCTTGTGACAAATTGCACATACACCATGAACAAATCCATTGCAAATACTGTATATAAGGTGGCTTTTATTAAATCAGTACTCAGCCTCCTGTCAGCCTCAGAGGGTTGGCATGCTCAGACCACTTTATACTGCATGTCCTGCAAATAAGCTCTGCCTTCTCCACCCATTTAAGTATTAATGGTGTTATGGTAAATTACTGCAGCACAAAGTTTAAAAAGAAAAGATAATTTGCCACCTAGAAGACACCATAGTGGATGGATTCTTAGCAGGGTCAAATACACAAATTTGGAATGATATCCAACAGTAAGAAATGACAAAATGCCAATATAAAAAATAACCATATTTAATTATAACTTGACAATACATGAAAATATTTAATCAAGAGAATGCATGGAAAGATTTATGCTATACATGTCTGTGTGGAAAGATGCCTGTTTTATTTTATGTTATGATGTTGATTTGGGGTTAATAAAGACA